TTAGAGTACTGGCTTTGTCAGTCAGGGTGGCAGGTGTGGCCGCTGCACATAAGCATGGGGACATACCTGATGCCACAGGGTCTAGTTGGCATGGGAAATATGCTATAGGACATATTTGAGAGGCAAAAGATTGTGCTAGAATGCCTGCAGCAATTCCATTATTTCCATGGCAGTATAGATGAAAAGGTTTGTCAAAATTAGGTAAGCCGAGAGCCAGGTGTGTGGACAAAGCTAATTTTAAGGCTTCAAAGGAGTGTAATGGCTCTGAAGGCCAGGAAATAGGCGCTGGGTGACATCTGGGAGAAGAGCACACAGAGGTTTAGCAAGGGCTGCAGAATTAGGAATCCATTGGGGCAGTAACCAGCTGCCCCTAGAAATTTACACAGCTGTTTTTTTTTCATTTTGAGGAGAAAGATGGACACAATGGACTCAAGGTGTTTGGGTCAGCTTTTGAATGCCTTGAGACAGCTCATGTCCTCAGTAGGCACCAGTCATTTGCACCCACTGAAGTGTAGATCTGGAGGGTTTATGGCCTCAAGCAGCTCATGCGTTCAGGAGAAAGAGGGGGTCTGTAAGGGCTACCTGATGAGTTTGATCACAGAGTAGAAGGTCATCCTCATATTGAACAGGAGTAGAGCCTGAGTAAAGTCTACAGAATCCAAGTCGGCTGTAATGATTTGGGAAAATATTGAGGGGGGCTCACAGCGTCCCTGAGGTAGATGAGTCCATGTGAATTGCCTCCCTTTAAATATAAATGGAAAAAGAACTTGTGAGTCAGAGTGCAAACAGATTAGAAAGAAAGCTTAGGAAGGGTCAACTCCTGTCACCCAGGCTGCATCAGCAGGAACTGAGGTCAGGATGACAGCTGGATCAGAGACCAGGCATGCTGAGGAATACAAAAGAATTTATGGCCTGAGATCTTGTACACAGCTGTAGATTTGGTTCCCCTCTTGCCTTCTTTTTTCACTGGCAAGATTGGAGAATTACAAGGTGAGAAAGTGAAAACTAGTGCACGCTGTTGCAGAAGGGAGTCTGTTATATTCAATTCCTTGTTCTGCATCTCTGGAAAGTGGTTATGGGGCTACTGATGGGCAAGGTTCATTCTTTTTCCAAGTGCAAGTGTTCTGCACTAACAATCCTACCGCATTTGCATGTGTAGCCGAAAGACAAATTGGGACATCTTTTAATGACTCAACATCTTCAGAAGAATTTAAATCAGGATGAGTTTCCAGCAAAGGAAGTAGGAGACTTGGGGTTTGGTCTGAGGGCAGGGAGATAAAAACATCTTTCTCATCACAATTTCTAGTGGCGTTAAATTTACATAACAAATCTCTGCCAAAATGGTTTGCTGGTGAACAGTGGGAGACTAGACAGGCAGGAAGAGTGTTAAGGGGCGTAAAGATGTTGGAGTGGGCTGAGATATGGGCAGTGAAATAGGCTGCCCAGAGACTCTAACAGCTTGATAGGAATCAGAGGTGACAGGTAGAGATAAATCCTCTGAAGGGATAGTAGAGAATATCACAGCAGTGTCAATTAAGAAATCTAGTTCCCCATCCTCTATATTAAGTTAAATGGTAGGGTGAGGGGTACGACTGAGGATCAGCTGACCCCACTGTAGCCAGAAAAATCTGAGACCCTGTCACTGTAGCCGAATCAATGAACACAATGACAAAGGATTGAGGAAAAGAAAAATGGTTTAATTTTGCCAGCAAAATGAGGCTGCGGTGGGCTTGAGCCCCAAGACCCACAATCCTCCTGAGACATTAGGAGTTGGGGGTTTTTAAAGGAAAGTCTGTGCGAAAGACTGTACTCTTCGTGACTGTGATTAGAATATCGTGGGGCTCCCAGACCTTCTGGCAGCACACCAGCTGTTATCTCTATCTATGGCGGGAGGTTTAGGGCTCCATTGGTCAATCTTCCCATGCCACCAGACATTGGGCCCTGGGGAGTGGAAGGAAACTGCCGCCAATTAACGATGACAAAGTTTACAAGGTTTAGATAGGGGAGGGGGAGCTGTGGCTTTGCAGTTCAGTGTCCTCCCATCAGCCTGCCTTTGGCTGAGATAAGGGAAGCTGCAGGTGTCCTCTGTCTGTCTCCGTGAGGAATGGTGGATTCCGCACCAGGAACAAGGAGTTGGGAGCTTCAGCTTCTTGATAATTTGAAGGTGTCAGTCTCCTTGTAACAAACCTCAAGAACTGGTAATTAGTCAGAACTTCAGTGTGTAATAATTTATTACCTCCTCTTGCCTTGTGGAATTCAGGGACACAAAGGCTAAAACAGCCAATATCTACATGTGAATGTACCTTAGAGAAGCAGGAAAGGGGAGTGAGTGCTTTCTGGTTTTTAACCCCGTATATGCTGGGTTCAACGCAGGGTACTGACATCAAGGCAGGCATCACCATGATTTAAGGGGGAAATGCCCCTCAGGAGGAGAAAACAAGCCTTCTGGGGGTGCTGGGGCCAAGGGAGGGGTATGTTTTCAACTTTCCCTTCTCTTAAGAGCAGGACAATCTCTTTTCTGATGCCCTGGTTTCTTTCAAAACCTGCCATTGTCTGGAGACAAATAGGGAGGTCTCTGAGTGGGCTTTATTTTACTCTCAGAGTTATGTTTTTGCTTCTCTAGTGATTCAAGTCATAAAGCCACAAGAATTGCTTTTAATTGTTTTTTCCTTTTACTTTCCTGCTATTTTCAAAGAATTGTGTAGCAGCCTCCATTATTACACTTAATGGTTGCCCTGACCCACTAACCATACTATTTTGAATTTGTTTTTTATATCAGGAAGACCATTTCCCACTAAAGCAGAAATTAGGGGGTTCCTGTGCTCTGGGACTTCTGGGTTTAATACTGTGTGCCTTTGAAAAGTTTGTATGAAACGTTCAACAAAGGCTTTTGGATGTTCCCTCTCATTCTGAGTGCATAGTTCAATTTTTGACCAATGAAATGTTGACATAAAATAACCAACAACCATTCTATAGATAAGAGAAATAAGGTGAGTTTACTTGAGCCGGAGTGAGGATTACAACCTGGGAAGAAGGCCTTAGATAGTGTTCCAGAGAAGCATGGTTTTCAGTACAGTCTTATATCTCTTTAGAACAAAGAACATACATGAAACACACCCAGGATACATTTTCATCAAAATTTCAATAGGTATCCAGTTGCAAATTAGCAGGTCAATGTGGCCCTGATGCCAGGAAAGGGATTAATTGGGTGATACCAATAGGGCCTAGGAGAGGAAGTATGAATTCTTATCTTAAGAGAGTGTATTCTTTAATGGTTAAGCAGATGTACAATGTATGCTTGACAGGCCATTAGTCAGGCATTTTAGTTCAGGCCCAATCAGTTTTGAACTCGAATAGTTACCCCATATACCTCAATTTCTGAGAATCTCTTGTCATAACTTTAGGAGGAAATGCCTCTAAAATCAATCCTATTAAACCATGAATATCAGGCTCTAGCAGGCCTACTTCCTGGAAATTTGCAGGAGGGCCTGGGAGAGGGTCTGGCCATTTATTTCCCCTATGATGGGGGTTTCCTCCAGGGGACCCTCTGGCCTGTCTGATAACTACAGTGTAATCCTGGGCTGGTCAAGATCTCTGTGGGTGGGGTTATGAATAGCCACTAACCTTTCTAACTCCTCTCTAAATGTAGTAGGATCTTCTGACAATGGAGGCAGGAGAGTTTTATAATTTAATACATCGGCTGCTGTCCAGGGGACGTGAATTCTCTGCAGCAGAGGCCCAGGGTACACTCACAATGGACACTGTGTAGGAATGCCTGAAGCTGTCAGAGCCTGATGACAGAGCCCTGGAAAGTAGGAGGACTTAGGAGGGACAGCAAAGCCAGCCTTCCTGCCTTTCCTGGCTGCTTCTCCTGAATTCACTTTCCAGCTTTCAGCATTTACACCTGTGACCTGTATGCCCCTGGTGTGGAGGGCAGGCCTAAGTGCCCCCTGTAAGTCTGCTAAAGAGAGGGAAGGGAAAATGGGCAGCTGAGTGCTGTTTGGAGAAAGTGGGCTTTTAGGATCTGAGGGAACTGGCTGAGGAGCTAAGTCTTGAGAGTGGGAGTTGAAACCAGGGGCCCAGGGATCCAACAGATCTTCTGGGGAGTCAGGGAAAGAGAGTTGGGGATATAGGAGAGTATAGGAGGGAGGAGAGGGGAATTTTCATTAAATTTGCTTTTTTTTTTTTTTTCGCTATGCCAGGCCCTCTTATTATTTCATTTCATCTTAACAGTGGTCTCATGAGGCAAGTACTATTATTTTCTCTCTTGGTTAGATGCAGAGACTGCAGTGCAGAGGAGTGAAATAACCTGCCCAGGGCCACCCAGCTGGTAAATGTTCTCAGTAAATTCCCTCTGTCCACTGCACAGAGAATCAATAATGTAGGGGTGACAGGAGGGAGCAGGGAGACCTGCTAGGAAGCCGGTGCAGTGATGCAGATGACAGAAAAGATGGTGGTGGTAAGAATAGGTCAGGAACTGGATATATATGTATTTTCTATTTAATTATTTTATTGAGATCATATTGGCTTATAACATTGTGCAATTTCAGGTGTACATTATTATATATCAGTTTCTGTATAGACTGCATCACACTCACCGCCAACAGTCTAGTTTTTATCTGTCACCATACATATGTGCCCCTTTATCCCTTTTGCCCTCCCCTAACCCTCTTCCCCTCTGGTAACCACTAATCTGTTCTTCTTATCCGTGTGTTTATCTTCCACGTATTGGTGAAGTCATATGGTATTTGTCTTTCTCTGGCTTTTTTCACTTAGCATAATACCCTGAAGGTCCATCCATGTTGTCACAAATGGTACAATTTTGTCTCTTTTTATGGCTGAGTAGTATTGCATAGTATATATATATGGCATCTTATTTATCCTTTCATCCATTGATGGTCATTTGGGTTGCTTCCACGTCTTGGCTATTGTGAAGAATACATAAATCTCTTTGAATTATGGATTTCATGTTCTTTGGATTAATATTCTGTAGTGGAATAGCTGGATTATATGGTATTTCTATTTTTAATTTTTTGAGAAATCTCCATACTGTTTCCATAGTGGCTGTACCTGTTTGTATTCCCAGCAGCAGTGTATGAGGGTTCCCTTTTCTTCACATCCTTTCAAATTTTTGTTAATTTTTGACTTGTTAATTATAGCCATCCTGACGGGTGTAAGGTGATATCTCAATGTAGTTTTGATTTGCATTTCCCTAATAATTAGTGACATTGAACATCTTTTCATGTGCCTGTTGTCCATCTGTATATCTTCTTTGGAAAAATGTCTATTCATATCCTCTGTCCATCTTTTAATCAGGTTGTTTGCTTCTCTTGTTGTTGAATTTTATGAGTTCTTTATATATTTTGTAAATTACCCCAATTATCCCAGACAGATAAGTGATTTGCAAATATTTTCTCCCAGTTGGTGAGTTGTCATTTCATTTTGTTCATAGTTTCCTTTGTCTTGCAGAAGCTCTTTAGTCAGGTGAAGTCCCATTTGTTTATTTTTTTCTTTGTTTCCCTTGCCTGGGTAGACATGGTATTCGAAAAGATACTGTTAAGACTGATGTCAAAGAGTACAATGCCTATATTTTCTTCTAGGAATTTTATGGTTTCAGGTCTTATATTCAAGTCTTTAATCCATTTTGAGTTAATTTTTGTGCATGGTGTGAGATAATGGTCTACTTTCATTCTTTTGCATGTGGCTGTCCAGTTTTCCCAACACTATTTATTGAAGAGACTTTCCTTTCTCCATTGTGTGTTCTTGGCTCCTTTGTCGAAGATTAGCTGTCCATAGATGTGTGGTCTTATTTCTGGGCTTCAATTATGTCCCATTGATCTGTTTGTCTGTTTTTGTGCCAGTACCGTGCTGTATTGATTACTATAGCTTTGTAGTCTACTTTGAAGTCAGGGAATGTGATGCCTCCAGCTTTGTTCTTTTTTCTCAGGATTGCTTTGGCTATTCGAGGTCTTTTGTTGTTCCTTATAAATTTTAGGATTCTTTGTCCTTTTTCATGAAGAATATCATTGGGATACTGATTGAGATTGCATTGAATCTGTGGATTGCTTTAGGTAATATGGACATTTTAACTTTGTTTATTCTTCCAATCTGTGAGCATGGAATATCCTTCAATTTCTGTATGTCTTCTTTGATTTCTTTCAATAATGTCTTATAGTTTTCAGTGTATAGGTTTTTCACCTCCTTGGTTAAATTTATTCATAAATATCTTATTCTTTTCATTGTGATTGTAAATGGGATTGCATTCTTGACTTCTCTTTCTGCTAGTTTGTTATTAGTGTATAGAAATGCAACTGATTTTTGTATGTTGATTTTGTATGCTGCAACTTTGCTGTAGTTGTTCTTTCTAATAGCTTTCTGGTGCATTATTTATGGTTTTCTATATAGAGAATCATGTCATCCACAAAAAGTGAGAGTTTTACTTCTTCCTTTCCAATTTGGATATCTTTTATTTCCTTTTCTTGCCTAATTGCTCTGGCCAAAACCTCCAGTACTATGTTGAATAAGAGTGGCAAGAGTGGGCACCCTTGTCTTGTTCATGATCTCAGAGGAATGCCTTTCAGTTTTTCACCATTAACTATGATGTTGGCTGTGGATGTTTGTCATACATGGCCTTTATTTTGTTGAGATACTTTCCTGCGAAACTCGTTTTATTGACAGGTTTTATTATAAATGGATGTTGGATCTTGTCAAATGCTTTCTCTGCAACCATTGAGATGGTTGTGTGATTGTTATTTCTCATTTTATTAATGTGGTGTGTCACACTGATTAATTCATGGATATTGAACCATCCATGCCACGCTGGAATAAATCCCACTTGATCATGGTATCTTATCCCTTTAATGTATTGCTTTATTCAATTTGCTAATACTTTGTTGAGGATTTTTGCATCTATGTTCGTCAGCGATATTAGCCTGTAATTTTCCTTTTTTGTGTTGTCCTTTTCTGGTTTTGGTATCAGGGTAATGTCAGCCTCATAGAATGTGTTACAAAGTGTCCCATCTTCTTCAATTTTTCAGAATAGTTTGAGAAGGATAAGTATTAAATCTTCTTTGAATGTGTAGTAGAATTCTCCAGAGAAGCCATCTGGTCCTGGACTATATTTACTTTGAATACTTGTTCTAAGTCTGACTTCTGGTCTTTCATTTTATTAAGCAATTCCCTGAGGCTAGCCATTATATTATGGAGGTTTTCTTTTCAATTTGGTCTTCCCATAAATACCAGTAAGGCAGCTGCTTGTGACGACAGCTCTCTGAAATAGTTTTCAAATCTAAAAGTTTCCCAATTCAAAAGATTCATCATGTGGCCATTGATTAAGAGGATTTCGATTTGTATATTTATTCCAATAGTGACTCAATCCAATAAGCCTTTTAAAGGAAAGATGTGGAGATAACTTTCCAGGCTTAGAACAAATCTCTACCACGGACACAAGAGGCATCCCTGGGGAGGACACAGATGATGTATCCCCCATGATCCAAAAAGTTCATTCCCCAAAATAGCCAGAGAGAGTAAAGAGATTCATTGTGCAGGCAGTAAGGATGGTATAATGAAAACAGTGTCTCTGGTCTCTGATGAGAGTGAAGGATGCCTCCAGTCAAAGACCAACCAATCTGTGACACCAGGCTACACTACTGGAATGGGATTTTTCCAACACTAACAAGCAAGGAATGTTTATGACAAAGGCCTTTATGGACTAGACCATTTACGAGAAAATCCCCTGGCAGTTTGGCACAGCCAGACAGAGAGTGCTCAGAACCCCAGTCTATTTGACTGGCCACCAAGGTAAATGCACTGGTAAATGCACCTTCTGGATGGTGGAGACCAAAAAGAATCTTCTCACTGGTCAAAAAGCCAAGTTCTCAGGACATAGAACAAGATGGAAGGAAAAACCTCACCTGTTTGTTTTTTTTTACATATGCACAATAACAGCTTTAGCCACACCTTCCATCTCTTGGATCCAAACTAACACCTAGGAGGGAGATGCCACTGAGTTGGGGATGGTGTTTGTTTTATAGAGTACTTCATTGCACAGAAATACTCTGGAGGTCGTTGGGGGACCTGTTGTCATCTACCCCATTCTGTGAGCAACTTACTCTATCACGAGAGTCTTCTTGAGGAGGTGAGCACCCTAATTGCTCTTAACTGCATGACCCATGCCCACCAATATTGTGGCCTTTTGGCTTCCAAGGTATCCCTTAGCAACAGCTTTTACCCCATGTGCATATGAACCCACAACAAAGTATGTCTTAATAGATGCCAGTCTGATGAGACTGCAAACTCACCAGCCTGTGGGGCTGGCCCAGACAACAAGCTTATAGGTCTATGCCAGCATCCTACCATATGGTATTTCCATCTTATGACACATGACATAAGTCACGGAGACAAAAAAGAAATAAAACAGTGACCATCTCTGTGAGGAAAAGGATCAATAAAGGCAAGAGTACTCTACCAAATATACGAGTCACTAAAAAGCACAAGAAACTAGTTTCCCAAATATTCTTTCCTGCCGATCTAAATTTAGAAAGACAGAAAAAAAATTCTCACCACTTGCTTCCACTGGACCCTGCAGATAGGGATTCCAGGAGGCTGATGTGGTCAGAAATCTTACCTCTTGCTGTCACACGCCAGAATCTCCTTATCTGCAGTTATCCTGGGGAGAAAGCAGTTCTTCCAGCCAGAGAATGCAGCTTGCCAGCCAGTGGGGATCCTGCCAGCTATGCCAAAACTGTAGGGGAAGAGGGAGAATTCCCCCCATTTTTCCCTTCTAGTTCTTATGGCTTGTCAAAGAATTAAAAATGATATAAGGCAGGTTAGCAGGAGAAAATCAAACAAAGTTTAATATATGATCATGGGGAATTCATATAAGCATGAAGAATTCCAAAGACAGTCAGGCAAAATCAGGTTTATATGTCTTTCTGGACTAAGGAGATGGAGATAGAGATCTGAGACCTCAACGAAGGAGAAGGCAATTTACAGGAAGATGAAAGGAGTTCATATTTTGTAAACAAAAGTTTGCATTGTCCCATTTATAGGCAATGGCACCCAAAGTGATCTTTTGATAAAATGGCCCTTTCTAGATGTCTTCCTGCCTACCACACCTAGAATTATGTATGGTAAGTGTTTCTTCCTAGGACGGCTGCTTCTATCTTAAATTCTTTTAGGCAATTTGGAGGGAGGTGAAATGTTCTTCCAGAGTCTTCTGAGCCTTCATTGTCTTCAGCTGAAAATAATCCACATGCCAGTGTGGCACATCTTGGGGCAGCCTGTCCTGAAACCCATCAAAGGTTTGTGCCAACCCTGCATCAAGTAAGTCTATTGGCGCCATTTTTCCAACATCATTTGCTCATTTTGTGTCTTAGTCTCATGTTGTATTAATTCTCACAATGCTTCAAACTTTTTCATTATTATTAATTTGTTATGGCAGTCTGTGATCAGTGATTTTTGATGTTAGTGTTGTAATTGTTTGGGGTTGCCCTGAACTGCACCCACGTAAAACAGCAAACTTAATTGATAAATGTTATGTGTGTCCTGACTGCTCCACTGATGGGCCGTTCCCCCATCTCTCTCCCTCTCTTCAGGCCTCCCTATTCCCTGAGACACAATATTGAAATTAGGCCAATTAATAACTCTATGATGGCCTCTAAATGTTCAAATGAAAGGAAAATTCACACATCTCTCACTTTAAGTCAAAAGCAAGAAGTGATTGAGCTTAGTGAGAAAGGCATGTCAAAAGCCTAGACGGGCCAAAAGCTAGGCTTCTTGCCACAAAGTTAGCCAAACTGTGAATGCAAAGGAAAAGTTCTGAAGGAAATTAAAAGTGCTACTCAAGTGAACACATGAATGATAAGAAAGTGAAACAGCTTTATTGCTGAGAAGGAGACAGTTTTAGTGGTCTGAATAGAAGATCAGACCAGTCACAACATCCCTTAAACGAAAGCCTATTCCAGAGCAAGGCCCTAATTCTCTTCAATTGTATGAAGGCTGAGAAAGGTGAG